GGGAATATGTGACTGTTATGTACTTAATCTTATAGAACCCTCAAAACTATGTAGTTTTGAACCATATATATCTAAATTAATCATGATATCTCATTTACTATTATGCCTTAATCACGTCACTTACTAAAAGGACCGAATTTATATTCTTATTCTTCATTGTGTCTAAGAACTTAAAACATTAAAAGTCACGATCATTTAATCAACCCTACTAAATGTTTAATAAAAACTAATAGAATAAATGATAAAAGAAGAAAATGCAATAACTCAATCAAGTTTTTCATAAATAATTGGATATAATTTCTCAATTAAAGAACAAAATGTTTGAGTTATATTCGTGATAAAATATTGAGTTTTTACTTTTCCCGATAAACTTCAATAATTCTTTGCAATAAAAAGATATAAAATTGATCTTTTTCATTCCATAATTTAACTCAATTTAATGGTATTCTATTAAAACAAAATTAAAAGAAAATGAAATTGAATTTATTCTGTTTAAAAATATGTTTTTTTTAAAAGGTTCTATACCTAAGCTTATGTATATAATAACCATATATTCACTTTTCATATATATATATATATATATATATATATATATATATATATATATATATATATATATATATATATATATATATATATATATATATATATATATGTTCAGGTTCATTTGATACCATGCTAATTTTGTGAGACCATGAGATCAAATCTAAAAATAATTTTAAATTGCAAAATAAAAGAAAAAATCCAAAAATTCTTTTTTTAATTATTATTTTCGGAACTTTATTTATCTAAAAAAATTACTGTTTTTTTTAAATACGTGAAATATTGTAATAAAATAGTACACCGTACATATTCTAATATGATTTTTAGAATGTTTAAAATATTCTACTAGATTTGTCAGATATGTAAAGTGTATTTTTTTGTATTTATTATTATTTTTTTTTGGTATTTTTTTTTGGAAAATATATATTTCGAAAATAATATTGGAATTTTTTTTTTGAAAATTTTCAATTATTTTACATTTTAAAAACGTTTTTGTTTTATCTAATAAATGAGTGGTTAGAATTGCATATCGCGGTCTCATAAAATTAGACCCTCTCACATGAACCTAACCCTATATATATATATATATATATATATATATATATATATATATATATATATATATATATATATATATATATATATATTAATTGGTTATTTGAATTCCATTACTTTTAAAATTGATAGTTGAAAATATATATATTGGATCTGGTTTCTCAACAAAAATAAAACATATAAATTCAACATAACGGATCATATAAAGGGCAATAGAAGCCGGTTAGTTTGCAAAAACGGATAATGATAGCCTATAAAAGGCACGATCGAAAGAACTTAATTTTTTCTATTACAAAATTAAGGGATCACAAAATTTAGAGTTAATATCATAAAGCCCTTATTTATTTATTGAACCTTTTTTATTAGACCTCAATTTATATTTTCTTTTCCTAACACATATCTTATGTATGCCTTATTTATATATTGAACCTCTTTTTTTTTTTTTTTTTTTTTTTTTAGTGTGTAATAATTGTTGGCAAAATGGATATAAAAATCTATTTGTAGGAGGGTTAAAGATTGTAACGGGTGAATCAATTACTTGACAACATTTTTAATGGGAAAACATGAAGGCTTAAATTAGTTTCTAAACATAAATTAGTGTTCGGAATGTGTTTTTCTGTGTGGTTCTTAAAACAATCTAAGATACCAAGCTTAGAATGTTGTTTTCATCTGTTACAATCTCCACGCATAGTATAAATAGATTTTGATATCAATTTTATTAATAAGAAGAAGATACAATAGTCTTTTTTTTTTTTTTTTTTTTTGTTTCAAACAAATCAAATGTTTTTTTTTTCAAATTATAATGTTGAAGACCATTAAAAATACTATAAAAAACATTAATAACATAAAAATTATGAGTCAAAACAAAAATTTGGTTCAAATGGAAACAAATTTGAGTTTCAAAGGAATATAATAGAGTAAATTACACAAATGGTCCCTATGGTTTGGGGTAATTTGCGAGCTTAGTCTCTTTTTTATTTTTTTAAATTCGGAAGGTCCGTACTGTTTGTTTTTGTTACGCACTTGGTCCTTACTATTTGTTTTTGTTACGTGTTTGGTCTTTATCTTAGCTAAGAAGATTATTATTTAAATAGGAAAAAATATTTGGGTAGGTAAAGTAAGGTGAGAGAGTGGGGTTGGGGTGTGTTTATTTAAATAAATTAAAAAAAATCATGGACAAAATAATCTTTTTAGGTAAGACAGGGACCAAGCGCGTAACAAAAACAAACAGTAGGGACCCTCCGAGTTAAAAAAAATAAGTTAGGGAACAAACGCGTAAATTAGCCAAAACCATAGGGACCATTTGTGTAATTTACTCAATATAATAATATTTTTAGGGATCAAACTACTTCTGTGATTGAAAATGTTTTTAATTTGAAAAACATGAAATCTAAAATTAGATTAATTACAATTGAGGGTTTTTCCGGGTAAAAAACGTTAAGAGTTTTTTATGGAACAAAAAATTTGAGTTTTTCCAAAAAAGTTGTTTACAACCGGAAGATTACCTGTTAAAATGTTCAAATAAAAAAATTTAGAAAAACCAATTTTTTTTGAAGAAAATAAATAAATTGAATATTGATCCGAAAAAGCCAACGTATAAGATATTTTTATAATATTATTGTTAAACATATGCATAACACAATGGAAGCCTGTTAGCTCCAAAAATATCAATCAAGAATCGTTTTTTTTAATCATCTTAATGCGGAAAAAAAAAATAGTTGTTTTTAAACCACCTGATCACTTATATACAGATTTAAAATGAAAGGACCTATAATACGATGGTTTTTTGTAGTTGAAACATTGCGAATAACTTGTACGCCTTGTACGATTTGCCATTGGTAGCATGAACAATAACCTAGTTTATAATGTATGTGGGGATACACAGTACTACCGCAAATTTTGTGGTTCAATTTCTTATATAATATAATAATACCATATGTTAACAGTAGCTTGAAAGGTGAAAGTGTAATTATTGGGTCGATCATCGATGGCAGGGGAATTAGTAGAAATTTCGTCTGAGAGAGGAAAAGGGAAAATAAAAACAACAATCACAGTGATATAACTGAACAAAAAAGTTAGTTCATGAAGGTTAATTTTGTAAAAACGTTGTTGATTCGTCCATGAAGGTTAGTTCTAAATCCATTTAATGAAAATGATGCATAAAAAGTTATTCTCACACGTTTTAATTACAATTTAGTGATTTACCCCCCACATGAAAAATAACTGCTTTGTCAAGAGAACTAGAGAAGTAACCCTTTTGTACACAAACACACGATGTTACTAAGGTGTTTGGTTTATGTATGATGATATTTTCGGATAAGATGTTAGTATATACAACAATTTACTGTTTTTGGTGTACTACAACGTGACATTAAAGTATATGTAACAACATGGATGAAAGCTGTGTTATACTAAAATTCTTGTTTTATTGAGCTAGTTAGCCGTGCAGATAGATCTGACAATGGAACGGATTTTGACTCTGATCTGATCCAAACCCTTAACAATTATACGGGTTTGGAGCATAGTTTATGATCTATTTGTGTTAACGATCAGTACCTGCTAACCCTTTTATTAAAAAGGTTGGGTATGGATCATCAGCGATCCGCTCCATTTATAATCCGCTCCAAATAAAATTTAGAATTATACATTTATATTTTATATTGTCTAAGTTTTACTTTTAATTTCAATAGAAAGTCTAAAGATTAAACTGTTTTTACATAGGACTCGAAGACTCAACTTCTAGACTTTTAGTCTTTTCCCAAAAATCATGATATCATTTCATTTATATTTCATCATATAATCATCAGTTTTATTTATAAATCAATAAATTCATTTATCAATTGGAAAAAATTTTGTAATTGCTATTCTCTATCAATGTAATCGAGGGTCAAAAACCAATCGGAAATAACTACTATAATGATTTTAATTCCAATCGAAACACTTCGAGTACATAATGTGTTTTCTAAATTAACATTTGTTTTATTTAACAAATGTGATTTTATGATTTAAATAAAATGAGTTTGTTATTAAAAAAACATACGGGTTACGTGACGAGTTTGAATATCTGCTGATTCAGTGGATTAAGGTATGAGTTTGATTATTCAAAACCCTGCGGGTTACGGAGCAAGTTTGGATCAGATTTTGGAGTTTGTTAAAAGGGTTTGAATTAAGGTCGATTCTCTCTAAATCCGCTCCATTGTTAGGTCTACATGCAGATATTAAACATGCATTACAAGCGAGTTTATGGATTTGTTGACTAGATGCACATAGCTTATCATCTATGACCGGACATATATCTCTTAAAAATTATTACTAACTAGAAATTGTCCTATTCCAACTTAGTGGTAAATGTAGGCTGTGAGTCTACTTATGTCCATTAGGGACCTAATTTGTAAAAGATATGTAAGGATTTTTTTTCTATAAATTATAGAGAGTTTTTGTAATTTATTTTCAAGACATAGAGACCAAAACTTCTAACGTACGAAAGTATTACGACCAAAGTCTATAACACAATGTAAAAAAATGCGTAGGAACCTTTTCTGTAAATTAAAGGGATAAATTATATAATTTTTTTTAACAACAAAACTCGCCATTATACAAAACTATGTCTAAAACTTAAAAGTTTTGTTAGTTGTTTTTTATTATATATAATAATAATTACAAATGATAAATTGTTTTTTATTGTAGGAAAAACATGTGTCAATCCTTAAAATTATTAAATGGATAAATGCCTTAAAGATGAGGGAGATGACTAGATCCTCCTTTCTGTTTCATCTTCCAAAAACACGATTGCTAAATGACAATGTGATTAACATTAATAATACAATTACTGGAAAATAATATATATTACACCGCCTAAATGGTGCATTAATTTTGTCAGTATTATTATTATAGCTTTAGCATTACCAACCAGGCCAGAAAGGGAAGCCGGTGGACATCAACCACGTCCACCCATTAATGAAGCTTCCAACTGTAAAAGGTATCGCCTCAACCTTCGTCTTCATCACACCCCACCCTGTCCAATTTACCCTCTTAGACGTATCAGCTCCAAGCCCCACGTTTCTGTACTCTCGATAATACAACGTGTCCAATGCAAACGACGACTTATTCCAACGATGCCATCCTTCAGGCTTTATCACGTCACTGATTGTCGATCGCATCACCACCGTTCTTGAATGCTTCTTCCATGGCCTTCCAAGATACGTTGAAAAATTTGCTTGAACCTCCTTAAGCTCAGGAGTCGCATCGATTTTGCTTCTTTGAATGACGATGCCTGTGTTTTGGTTAGGATCTGTCCGACCTTGAGCTGTCACCATGTTCTTTTGCTTGCGATTCGGGCGATGCGCCAGGATGTCGCAGAACTGGAAGACAACCGCAGCATTACCAAATATGAAATCAACAGTGCCGACGATCCTGCAGTTGACGAAGAACTGACGTCCGGTGGGGACATAAAGAGTATCTTGGTATGCGAGAATACTACATCTATAGAACGCCGATAAATCAGACCCAACACGTAGTGCCACTGCTTGATGCCCTGAAGGTCCTGCTGTATTTCGAAATGTAATATCTCGTGCCAAGAATCCTTGACCCATGGCCGCTGTGACAATATGCATGCTATCATAATTTAGTCCATCTTAAATTTTTATAAATCTTCCATCTATAAATAAACTTGATTTATTTAATCAAACTAACCTACGGTTGCGGAGGTCCAGGTAGTGCTGCCTCCGCCGGCGACGTTCTTGCTTCCTGTAATAATCGTTTTTTCTCTTCCATCACCGATAAACATTAAGTTGGGTTTGTTTTTTGGAACTTCAACATTCTCTTCGTACACCCCTTCCGCTATCTTTATCAGGTACCGGGTTTTGCTTTTCTCAGGAGCTGCTTCCACCGCTGCCCCCACCGTCGTATAGTTTCCTTTACCATCCTTGGCCACAGTCACGTTTGGCTCAACTCCCCACAATCCAAACAGTTTCCTGTCTCTTGTAGACAGCCACTCCGGCCATATCTCCTCCTTGAGGTTTCGTACATCCGATTCTGGCTTGTGGGCCATATCTGTGTCCGTCATGTTCTTAATCATAGCCAGTATATTGCTGCACATCTTTCCACTGAGGTCATAGCCTTGGATGATTGATTTGGACGACTGCTTACAGTCTAAATCGTAAAAGAGGTCGTCCAAGCAGGTCTCCTTGTAGGTGATGGTGGTGCTCATGAGGGTTTTGAGGTCGTCGGCCTGTTGCCGAAGAGATTTCTGTGTTGGATATGCCTTCAGCTCTTCAATCACCATGTCAAGATCTTCTAGAGTTCCAGCTACCATTTCTAAGCAGTCTTGCAGCGCGATTTTGCAGCGTTTCTTGAGATTGGAAGTGGATGCAAGCTGCTTTATGGCGTTGAAATTTCCTTGAATGGTCTCCTTTGTTTTATTGATAGCTAGTTGGATTACGTCCTTTTTAGTTGCGAGGTTTTTGGTGGTGGAGAGGGTGGAGTAGCAAATGTCTGGGTATAAAGTGGTGATGCAAGATGACTTGATGATATCGGAGTCTGGATTAGTTCCATGGACATGAGAAGTTAGTATGATGGAAGCAATAAGAAGTAAAAGTGTGATGTTTCTGTTGCCGGAGTTGGAATTGGACATAGTGAGCAGATGCATGCGACTGCAGGATGAGGCATGGTGATGAGTCGAAGGGTGTACAATGTACATATATTATGGTTTATTTTTATGAGCATATTTGTTTGGATTTAATTAGTATGTACGATTTATTTGATAAAATGGGTAAAGTGTTGTTAGTATTATGGATTTGGAAAGGATGGTGGATGAACTAAAATAAAGGAAGCTAGACGTACCTCCATGCATCTCCATAAGGTATTTCTTTAGCACACATTAGTCCATACGACTTGTTAATATCAAAAAGTTAATTGCATAACATATGACTAGCTAGAAAAAAGTCCTTATAAGTGCAATATTAAAACCTTTGATAAGTGCAATATTAAAACCTTTGATAAGTGCAATATTAAAACCTTTGCTATTAGGAAAAAAAAAATAGGAGGACTATTTAATTTCTCATTGCCAATGATAAAACTCATATTCCAAGAGAAAATAAAAGGAAACTAAGCAAAAGAGTTTGTCATGTAACAAATTATGTATTAACAGAAAAAAAACATTTAAAGCATTAGATTATAAGTAGCTTTAATTATTCTGTTAGTTCATATATATATATATATATATATATATATATATATATATATATATATATATATATATATATATATATATATATATATATATATATATATATATATAGAGGTTCAGGTTTATTTGAGACCATTCTAATTTTATGAGACCATGAGACAAATCTAAAAATAATTTTAAAATGCAAAATAAATGAAAAAATCAAAATATTCTTTTTTTAAATATTATTTTCGAAACTTGAATTAACCAAAAAAAATAAAAAAAATCCCATTTTTTTTTTGAAAAATATGTGAAATATTCTAAATAGAATATTACACTGAAATATTCTAAAAAATAAGTTTAAAATGCAAAATAAATGGAAAATTTTAACAATTCTTTTTTTAAATATTATTTTCGGAACTTGAATTAACTAAAAAAAATAAAAAAAAATCTATTTTTTTTGAAAAATACGTGAAATATTATAAATAGAATATTACACTGTACATATTCTAAAAATAATTTTAAAATGCAAAATAAATGGAAAAATCATAAAATTCTTTTTTTAAATATTATTTTCGGAACTTGAATTAACTAAAAAAAAATTAAAAAAATTAAAAAAAAAATAAATAAAAAAAATGCGTCTCACGGTCTCACAAAATTAGGCCGTCTCACATGAACCTAACCCTATATATATATATATATATATATATATATATATATATATATATATATATATATATATATATATATATATATATATACTAAACTGCAAATTTAATCATGTGTTTTACAAAAAATTATGGATAAAAACCAAAGAGTTTTCAATTTGCACCACCCGGTCAAAATGAAAACTTTTTTGTGGTTTGTGTCGATGAATTATATAAGGTTTGTTTGGGATATGTAGCACATTTTACCACATATACGGTTTCTATGACCTTTCAGAGTGAGTTTCATGAAGTCATGAATTAGTTTCATGATTGAGGTGACAACCGTTAGTTTTGTATGTTTAAGAATGATCATATTTACAAAAAATTATGGATAAAGACAAAAAAGTTTTCAATTTGCACCACCCGGTCAAAATGAAAACTTTTTTGTGGTTTGTGTCGATGAATTATATAAGGTTTGTTTGGGATATGTAGCACATTTTACCATATATACGGTTTCTATGGCCTTTCAGAGTGGGTTTCATGAAGTCATGAATTAGTTTCGTGATTGAGGTGACAACCGTTAGTTTTGTATGTTTAAGAATGATCATAAATTAAATAATATTGTTAATAACATATGACCATATGGAGTCACACCAATAACAATTAGACACCAACAAATCATTTATCTAATGAATTTGATTCATAATAAATGTCATACCTCTTGCATCCATTATTTTATGAAAAAAATAATATTGTATCTTAATTCATATGGTATGAATTAATTTAAGTATGTCAAATCATTCAGAGGTTAAATGATTTAAATAAATTGTATACCTTTATTTAGTTAAATAAAATATATATGTACATATATAAAATCATTTTTATATATGTATATATAAATACAAAGGTTATTTAAAAGGATTGAAGTTTATATTGTATAAAGAGGTTAAAGTAACTTTTATAAAATATAAAAGTAAGAGTGTAAGACACACACATACACACATACATACACTATTTCTTTCTATCTCCTTTTAAATTCGTCCAATCACTTCCAAGGGAGGTCCAATGGGGTTTGTTTGACTTGTGTCTCTCAATGCATGTTCTCGAATGGTTCAAGGCTCATAATTGAGTTAGATGACTTATAGGTGGAGACTAATGATAAAAGACTTCCTTTTCTTTTCCATTTTAGAGGCTTTGAAGAAAATACCCGTACACACACTCTCTGTTATCTCTAAAGTGTTAAGAAGATAAATGACACACAAATGTACTCTCTTGAAACATCAAATTTAGATTTGATTTTCAAGCTTAAGAGTTTTTATGTATAACAAGAGTTGAACTAGCATTCGGTGGTGTTGGAATCTTGTTGGTGGATTATTTCTCTAAAGGAAGTCTCGATGGCCTTCTTGCCATCTTTACTAAATTCAACATCCCGAGAGGATTCAAAGGCTTCAAAGGCTGTAATATATAAATCTCCATTGGTTGTCTTATATTATCTTGTATGTTCATGTACAGTGATCCTTTGATGGTTTCTACTTTTTGAAATATTTTACATAAAATATAAAAGTCTTCCGTTGCAAAATCTTTTGATTTTATGGTTTAATTATATCTCGAATTGAACAAATTCCCAACAACAATGACCACGACCGTGCAAACCTATATCCCTATGGGTCATGGTGGGTTGTGGTTAGCACCTCATTTTACAATGGGGCCTTCTCTCTTGTGACATCTTCATCTCTCTCTTCTTTCTATCTTCTTCAAGGTGTTAAGTATAGAGGTGGTTTGTGGTGGCTAAAATGGAAGCTCTTCATGCCCTTTGGCGTGGAGAGTATAGGCCAAAATGTTGGGTATAATCTTGATGTGGAAATTGAATAAATAAGTATGTATGGTTTTACATTTTATGCTTTAGTTTATTATTTAGAGATGGTGCACTAGTTTAACCGAATTGTTTCGAGTTGAAGGAATCGGTCATTAGTTATTCCTAGTCTTTAGGTAGAGTAGTTAGTCATGCATCACATGGGTGTTTAGAAGGCTATATAAAGCCCTTCTCAAATACGAATAAAGTAGAGTTTCTTTGGTCATTAATTTTCTACACAATGCATAGTTAATTCATTTGTGCAGAAAACTTCTTTTCTCTTTTCTATCATCACAGTCGAGTAATAAACAAACACAAGTATTATTCTTAGTGTGAGTTTTAGGGGTCCATAATCGAGTCGAGGTGCTAAAAGTGGGCTTAGATGCTATGACTGTGGAGCATTTGGACACTTTGCAAATGAGTGCACCAAATTTAAGGGGGTGGATGTTGGGTATAATATTGATGTGGAAAATCGAATAAATAAGTATTTATGGTTTTACATTTTATGCTTTAGTTTATTAATTAAAAATGGCACACTAGTTTGACCGAATTGTTTGGAGTTGAAAGAATCAGTCATTAGTTGTTCCTAGTCTTTAGGTTGAGTAGTTAGTTATGCATCACATGGGTGTTTAGAAGGCTATATATAGCCCTTCTCAAATACGAATAAAGTAGAGTTTCTTTTGTCATTACTTTTCTATACAATGCATAGTTAATTCATTTGTGCAGAAAACTTCTTTTCTCTTTTCTGTCATTATAGTCGAGTAATAAACAAACACAAGTGTTATTCTTAGTGTGAGTTTTGAGGGTCCATAATTTACATTTGGTATCAGAGCACCAAGCTCATACCTGGTTCCTAGAAAGATAGAGAGATGACTGATTGCAACCTTATGTAATCAGGTCAAGAGGAAGATAGCAAGCAGCAAGGCTAATCAAGTCTAGTGATTAGAAGAAGAAGCAACATAAATTTTCTATATGTTAGCAAGCAAGAAGCAAAACGCAAGCAACAAGGATCATTCAGCAAGAAAGCAAGCACCAAGAAGAAAGAAGACAAGAAAGCAGTAGCAAGAAAAGAAAGAAGGAAAGAAAGCAGTAGCAAGAAAAGAAAGCAGTTAGCAAGAAAGAGATCAAGATCGTTGTGGAACTCAAAAGTTTAGCAAGAAATTCCAACAAACGTAGGAACTATCCGTGAGCAAGTTCATGTACCATTTCATTTTCCTAAACTAACTGAAACGAACTACACTTCGTGGTCAATTATGGTTGAAACGGTGCTAAAGGCATATAATTTATGGGAGTCAGTGGATCCCGAAAGAACTGTGGAAGCAAAGAAGAACCACACCACCAAAGCCATTATCTTTCACACTCTACCAAAAGATATTTTGTTGCAGGTCTTTAAACATGAAGATGCAAAGGATTTTTAGGAAGCGATTCGGGTTCGATACTTAGGAGTCGATCGAGTCAAAAGGCACGTTTGCAAACTCTTAGGAGTGAGTTGGAGATGCCAAAGATGAAGGAAAACGAGACAATTAATGATTTTTCGGGAAAGATAAGTGGCATAATAGCAAAAATTAAAAGTCTCGGTTCAAGCCTTGAAGAAGAAGTGGTGGTGAGAAAGCTTCTCAATTCAACCCCAAAGAAATATTTACCAATCATTGCCTCCATCAAGCAATAGTCAGAGATGGAGACCATGTCCTTTGAAGAAGCAGTGGGAAGACTCAAAGCATACAAATAAAGAATCAAAAGCCATGATGAAAGAGATGAAGAACAATGACAACAAGGACAAATTTTATTAACAAATGATGAGCATGATGATAGGCAATATGGACGAGGAAGAGGTCGGGGAAGAGGATTCGGCAGAAGTGAAAAAGGATGTGGAGGAGGCTCGAGTCGAGGTGATGAGAGCGTGCTTAGATGCTATGACTGTGGAGCATTTGGACACTTTGCAAATGAGAGCTCCAAATGTAGGGGTGAATGTTTGGTATAAT